TGATGGAGAAGGATGCCCTCAAGGTGGCCCAAGAGATGAAGGCTGAGTACTGGGCTGTCTCTTCTCTCACTGGTGAGGCAGAGGTTTCAGGTCTTCTGCTGTGGCACTCTTGTCTACCTGGCCTCTCATTCCTATACCTTTAGCTGTGCCCCATGACTCAAGGCCTGGAACAGCCCCTGAGCACCCGTCTGCTCCATGTGTCAGGTGAAAATGTCCGGGAATTCTTCTTCCGTGTGGCAGCACTGACCTTTGAGGCCACGGTGCTGGCTGAGCTGGAGAAATCGGGGGCCCGGCGCATCGGAGATGTTGTCCGTGAGTGCCTACCTGGTGAGGGTGGCAGAGAGCATGGGGAACGTCTAATCCTTGCTTCACATATTTTCCACCCTTTTTCAGGCATCCATAGTGATGACAGTAACCTCTATCTGTCTGCTCGCAAGAAGAAGCCCACGTGCTGCCCGTGAGCGGTAAGGGGACTGTCCAGAGCCTGCGCAGCCCTGGGGCACCGTGCCACCTTGACTCCCCTACACCTCGAACCGGGACATTTGCACTGATTGTTTTTCCAGACCAAAGAGCTGCCTGTTGGTGGCAGTATCCCTGGAGGGGTAGCGGGGACCATGCTAATCGCTTCCTGCCCCAGGCACCATGCCAAAGACTGGATATTCCCCCTCCTCCAGGGGCTCTCCAGGGTGCCCAGCAGTGGGGAGGTAATCCCTGCTGCTTTTGCTTAGCCTGCTGGGCCCTTTTGAGTATGAGGATGCCTAATGATCCCAGCCTCACACTGTGCCTTATGCATTAAAATCTCTATTATTAGCAGTTTGGGGACTAGAGTCCTTTGTTGGGGATGAGGGATGTGGAATTAGCAGGGCTGTGTGGCTGTCTTGGGAATGGAGCTTCCTGCTGGATTCTGGCCATATCTGACCCCTGGGCCCAGACAGGCTGAGAGCTCAGGAACCACATTTTGGAGGCGTGTCCTGGACTCTCAGTGGTTGGCTTTGAGAGCTCTTTCCTTTGGTTCCTTATCCCCAACTGTGTCCTCCTACTTGGACACATATTTCTACCACTGGATAATTGTTTTCTTTTTTTTCACCGATTCTGCCTTCCCTTAAAAAAAAAAAATACTTATCTGAGGGGAACACTGTAAGAAGTGATGGAGGTTTTGAATGCTCTTTGGGTTGACCAGAAGGTGCAGCACAGGTATGGGCTTGGCTCTTACTCAGAAGATGTGCTATCTAATGTATAGCTAACATTATTAGTAATATAAACATAAATTTATGAGTAGTGTCCTTTTACATTTTAAAACATGATTAAAATAAACAAAACAGCATAGGGGTGTTTGGCTGGCTCACTCAGTAGAACATCTGATTCTTTATCTCAGGGGTGTGAGTTTATTTTTATTTATTTTTAATTTTTTTTAATTTATTTATGATAGTCACACATCGAGAGAGAGAGGCAGAGACATAGGCAGAGGGAGAAGCAGGCTCCATGCACCGGGAGCCCGACGTGGGATTTGATCCCGGGTCTCCAGGATCGCGCCCTGGGCCAAAGGCAGGCGCCAAACCGCTGCGCCACCCAGGGATCCCAGGGGTGTGAGTTTAAACCCTATGTTAGGGTCAGCCCCAGTGGCAGAGCGGTTTAGCGCCGCTTACAGCCTAGGGCATAATCCTGGAGACCTTGGATCGAGTCCCACGTCAGGCTCCCTGCATGGTGTGCCTGCTTCTCCCTCTGCCTGTGTCTCTGCCTCTCTCTTTCTCTCTCTGTGTGTGTGTGTCTATGAATAAATAAATAATCTTAAAAAAAATAAACCCTATGTTAGGCCCAGAACTTACTTTATTTTTTATAGTATTTTTTTTTTAAAATTTTTACTTATTTATTCATGAGAGACACACACACACAGAGGCAGAGACATAGACAGAGGGAGAGGCAGGCTCCATGCAGGGAGCCTGATGTGGGACTCGATCCTGAGTTTCCAGGATCACGCCCTGGGCCAAAGGCCGACGCCCAACCACTGAGCCACCTGGGCTGCCCCTAGAGCTTACTTTAAAAAGGAAAAAGGAGGGCAGCCCCTATGGCGCAGCAGTTTGGCGCCACCTGCAGCCTGGAGGGTGATCCTGGAGATCCAGGATTGAGTCTGAGGTCAGGCTTCCTGTAGGGAGCCTGCTTCTCCCTCTGCCTGTATCTCTGCCATTCTCTCTCTGTGTCTCTATGAATAAATAAACAAAATCTTAAATAAAATAAAATAAAATAAAATAAAATAAAATAAAATAAAATAAAATAAAATAAAATAAAATAAAATAAAAAGGAAAAAGCATTGGGATCCCTGGGTGGCTCAGCAGTTTAGCGCCTGCCTTTGGCTCAGGGCGTGATTCTGGAGTCTTGGGATCAAGTCCAGCATCCGTCTCCCTGCGTGGAGCCTGCTTCTCCCTCTGCCTGTGTCTCTGCCTCTCTCTCTCTCTATCATAAATAAATAAAAATTAAAAAAATAAAAAGGAGGGAAAAAAAACCCGGCATATTTTTTTCCCTCTGCAAAAAGGAAAAGATATGCTCTGAATCAGGAAGTCCCCCATTTGAGTCCTCACTGTTTATCCTCAATCACTTTTCACTGTGTTCCCCTGGGAGAAATACTATTTTTTAATTCATTATTTTTTCCAAAGATTTACCCATTTATTCTAGAGAGCAAGAGAGTGATTGTGCAAGCAGGGGGAAAGGCCAGGGGGAGAGGCAGAGGGAGAGGTAGAAGGAGACTCCCCACTGAGCAGGGAGCCCAATGTGGGGCTTGATCCCAGGACCCCAGGATCATGACCTGAGCTGAAATCAGGAGTCAGATGCTCAAATGACCCATCCAGGCGCCCCAAAGAGAAGTATTTTTCAAAGGGAAAGCAGAAATGGGGTGAAAAAAAGAAAACAATTATCCAGTGGTAGAAATATGGGAATAAGCACCAAGTAGGAGGACACAGTTGGGGATAAGGAACCAAAGGAAAGAGCTCTCAGACTCCCAGGCAAATCACTTATCCTCTGTGCCTCAGTTTCTTCATCTGTAAAACCAGGCTGATAACACTGATGAGGTTTCATGGATGAAATAAGGTAAAACACCAACACACACAGGAAGAGCTCAAAAACCTTAACTATTGTAACTAATTGGAGGGAAAAGTGGTGAAGAACCTGGCTCATTTTTGACATTTTTTTTTAAAGATTTTATTTATTTATTCATGAGAGACACTAAGAGAGAGGCAGAAACATAGGCAGAAGGAGCAGGCTCCATGTGGGGAACCTGATGCAGGACTTGATCCCAGGCCCGGGGATCAGGACCCGAGCCAAAGGCAGAAAGAAGCTCAACCACTGAGCCCCCCAGGGGTGCCCCTCATTGTTGACATTTGATCCAGAGTTATAGATTGGGTGGAAGCATCTCAGACATCTGAGGCAACAATGCTGGGACACATGTGGCCTGGTGTCATCCTGAGAGGCCTCGGAGGGGCTGAGATTAGAACACAGATCCGAGGGACTCCTTCGGCTCAGGGTATGATCCCAAGATCCTAGATTGAGTCCATGTCGGGCTTCCTGCAGGGAGCCTGCTTCTCCCTCTGTCTGTGTCTCTGCCTCTCTCTCTTTCTGTGTCTCTCAGGAAAAAATAAATAAAATCTTAAAAAAAACAAAACAAAACACAGATCCCGGCTCCCAGGCGCCTGGTACCATTCTCACCCAGCCACTCTGTTGGAAGAGTTGGCTTTCCTGCAGACTCCTCTCTCCTGGCTTCTCCTTCCCTGCTATTCCTAGAATTGTCTAGAGCTAAGGTGAGGAGAGGAGTCTGGGTAGCGGCCGTAGCCACTCAGCCTCCTGGGTCTGGAGGAGGGTGAAGGCTGGGATCATGCAGAGTAGCAGCAGCAGGAGAGGCCCTTGATGACTGGAGAGAACAGAGTTTAAACATCATCCTTTCCTCTTTTTTCCATCTGTTGAGATATATCCTGGTTTAGGAGCCTGGTGCCAAGACAATTTGAGGAGTGTGATGTGTGGAGTGTGGGTGGTATGGCTGTAATACTTTTTCACACTCCCTGGGACTGTTTTTTCCATGTCTCTTCCCTCACAGGACTGTGCTGTTCTCACCGCTCCTGTTGCACAGAGCCTGTGACTCGGTGTGTGTATGCACGTGTGTGAGAAACCTGAACCACAGAGCTGCTGTGGAATGTTTGTGCTGTACCCCGCATGGGGATCAGGGATGTGGTTCGGTTTTCTGGGCCCTCTCTGTGAGGGGAATGGGCATGTGTGCATATTGCATCAGTCCACGGGTGTGACTGATGTATGTGTAGTGTATATGCTATATTTTAAGGGTGGGCGGGGTGTGTGTAGTAAGTTACTATGAATGCCCCGTCACAAGCAAACCTATGGAGACACATGGGGTTGTGAGAATGAAATAAGATAAAGCACTGACGTACATAGGAAGAGCTCAGAAACCTTAGTCATTATTTATTTATTTATTTGTTATATTTTTTTCCTTAATCATTTTAATAACTGTTTTGGGGAAGAGTAAGCAAGACCTTGGTCCTATGCTGACATCTTTACTGGGCAGTATCGTCTCTGGGACAGGGCGCCTGTGGGGGTTGGGAGGGAACGCTGAGAAGGGGCCCTGGGGACGGGTGCCCCGACGGGCTGGGAGCCGACTACTTCAAGTCCTCATCTTGAGAACTGGGCCTTGGGCTCCTGCGGAGAGGCCTGGGGGCACGAGGAAAAGAGCGCGCGCGCACGGCAGCGAGCCGGACCCAGCCATGCTCCGGAGCCGGACGGCCGTCGGAGACGCGGGGGGGTGGGGGTGGGGGTGGGGGTGGGGGTGGGGGCTGCGGGCGGGCGGGGCTCCCGGGCAGCCGCTGGGTTCCGAGGGCTTGGGAGGGGCTGGATTGCTGCGGAAGCTGGAGGTGGAGAGAATGGCTGGGGCGGGGCTAAGAACGGGGTGGGGGCGGGGCTAAGGTCCGGGGGTAGGACTAAGAGCGGGGTCTGGAGAGGAGCTAGGGATGGGACTGAGGGGGCTGGGCCTGAGCGGCCGAGCTAAGGTTTAGGCCCGAGAGAAAGAGGCGGTACTAAGGTTCCAGGTGGGACGAAGAGGGGCGGGAAGGAGGTGGGAGGCCCCGGATGAAGAGCGCGGCTGAAGCTTAGGTTTGGGCTAAAACAACGCAGAGCAAGGGGAGGGTGGAGGGAGAGACTGGGCAAGCATGGGGCGGAGTTAAGGGCTGGATCGGGGCGAGGCTGACATTGAGGTTTACGGCTGGCTCGACCAAGCTGAGGTTCAGGATTGGACTTCCGCGAGGAAGTCTTGTAGAGAGAGAACTGGGCTAAGAGCGATGTGGGTCAGGACGACACTGAGGATCGAAAGGTGGACTAAGGAAAAGACTGAGGACAATGCCACCATCTGGGCTGAGAGCAGCGCTGGTAAGGAGGGGGCGGGGCAGGAGTTTGGGGGTGGGTTTCGGTCTGGGGGCGTGGCACTCAAGGAGGGTTTAGAACTGGGTAGAGCCTGGCGAAGGAGGCGGGGTCAGGGCTGGGCCGGGGCGGAGTTAGGGCCTAGGGGCGGGCTCACGCCGAGCCGTGGGCCAATGATTGAGGACTGGGGTCCTGAGGCCCTGGAGAGTGCCTGCTGGGTTGGCCGGGCGGGTCCTGCTGGAGCCAGAGTGGCCGGCCTCTAGCTAGTAGGAGTGGGAAGCGTTGCCTTGCTGCAGTCTGAGCCCTGGCCGCTGCCTAAGAAGTGCAGGGCCTGGCCAGAGCGCCTGGTCCAGCACCCACCCAGTCGCCAGGTTGGGCCAGGCGGTTCCATTGAATCTCAGGGGAGGAAGGAGTCTGGAGGTTCCACGCGTGACATCACAATTACTGTCAGATGTGGCGGGGCCAGGGCGGTATTTCCCAGAAGACCGTGCACACTGCGCTGTCTAGCTCCCTCTTTCTCCCTGCTTCCCTTCCTTTCTCCCTTCCCCCTCTCCCTTCCTCCCCCATTCAGCTGCTTTGGTGCCCAACCTGGAACCCCACCACCTGTGCCACAAGGGCGGGGGGAGCGCCTCAGCCCGCCGTACTGGGAGGATTCTGTACAAATGAGCATCACCTGTGAGTTTTGAGTTAGGCCCCTGCACCTGGTTGAATGCGCCACCAAGAATACCACCATAAGCCTCCCTCTTCCTTTCAAGCCGTCCCTCTACTCATTTCATTATGAAGTCTGCCCTGTGTCTGGCCACAATTACTGCTGCTCCCTAAGTAGGAGCTCTCCTATCTGTGAAATTAGAGAGCAGGTTGTCTTCCTCCTACCTGAAGAGTTACCAAGTCCCACCCCTTGGCAGAGTTTTGATCCATTTATTAACTTGTGTCTTTGGACAGCTTTCTTTTTTTTTATTTTTTTTAATTTTTTTGGACAGCTTTCTTATCCTGACTCTCTGAGTCCCCCACCGATAGAATGGATTGTGGTGAGGATTTTAGATCCAAGGCATATTTTAAAAGCCCAGCACAGTGCCTAACTTTGGAAAGATGCTTATTCTGGGCCACTTCTTTTCTAGAAAAGTCCTCAGTGTTGAACCCTGGGCAGAATCTCCAGTGCTGTGGCTTCTTTATGGTTGGTTCCAATAGGGTTTTTTTCTATTCTACTCATGTATTTATTCAATCAACCGGCATTTATGGGACACTTTTCATGTCCCAGAACTTGCAGATACAGAGGCAGATAAAATATGGGCCTGTTCTCAAGTTGCCCTAGAGTAAGTGCATAAAGTACCATGGCAGGGTAAAAGGACACAAGACATGTGTGACCAATTCTGCTTGGAGAGAGTGTTGTTCTTTCCAAGATAAACAGGTATTTCTGGGGGGTGAGAGGCAGGAGAGAAAGAATGGAGAAGAGAGGGGTAGGAGGAAAGATGAGTGAGAAAAACTTAACTGAGGAAGGAATCAGGGCCGGGTCCTGGGGGGGTCAGTTATGTCATGATAGGGAGTTTGCACCTCATCCTGAAGGCAGTGGAAGGCTATTAAACAGGAGGAACATGGTGGATTGGTTGGAAAACTCAATTTAGCTGCATTGTCTGCATGCGGGTAGTAAAACAGAAGGCAGGGAGATTAGGCAGGAGGTTCTTGAGTTGTCTTAGGAATACTGAAGTTCTGAACCAAGTTAGAGGCAGATGTGGGGGGCAGGTAGGCATGGCAAGACTTGGTCATCAACTGGGTGTAGAAGCGAAGGAAAGAACCATCCCTAGATTTCTAGCCAAGGTGTCCATTCCTTTCTGAAATGAAAGAGATAAAAGGAGATGGCTCCTGGAGGGCAGGGAGAAGATAGATTTGTGTATGATGTGTTGGTCTAAGATATTTTGCAAATGTCCTAGAGAATATTGATTCTGTGCTCAGGAAAGCAGTCTGGACTGGAGGCCCTGATTTATGTCATTTTTTTGATGGATGTTGAAACCATGTAAGTGGATGACATTATCCAAGAGAAGTCTGTAGAGTCTTTGAGAAGGAGGTCAAACAGAACCCTGGTAATTACCAATTTAAGGGGTACAGCAGAGGAAAAGGAAACTGCAAAGGAGTCAGGAAAGAACTAGCCACTCAGAGAAGGAAGACAGAGGAGATGAGAGAGGTCATTTATGGGGGTCAGAAGAACAGTTTGCAGAAGAAAAGATATCAATTGGTCAACAGTGTCAAGAAGGGAAGAAAGAAGGCCACTGGGTTTAGTTATTAGGAAATTGTTGAAATTGTAGGGATGGGTGCCTGGCTGCTTCAGTCAGTAGAGCAGGGGATTATGAGTTTGAGTCTCACATCAGGCATAGAGATTACTTTAAAAAAAAATAAAAGCTTAAATAAATAAATACATAAATAAAAAGGAAATTGTTGGTGGCCTTTGCCTGGGCTTTTTTTTCTTTTGATAGAAAGGCCCAGTAGCTGCCATGCTGTATGTGGCTGGCAGAGAAGAGAGGTGGAGACTCTGAGCTAACTGAAGGTAGGCACTTGGCCTCCTCCACTGGTGCCTGGTGAAGCTAATCAATATGCCTGTTAAATGAACAAGTGAATAAACCTGGATTGAAAAGGAAGCCAGGTGGGATATTCAGTGGTAGAGGGAGAAGCAGGGTTCATAGAGTATTTTGTTTAAAGATAGTCATTGCTTGTAGGAAAAAAAAAAAAAAAACAGTAAAGAAGGAGAAGGTAAAAATTCTGACTGGGACCTAGGATTCAGGGGCTTTGGGCGGGAGAAAGGTGGAGGGGTACTTCTCCAGGCTGGGGGAGAGTCGATGAGCGGGGGAGCAGCCTCAGGTAATGCTGGTACAATGATCTGAAAGGAACAGCGGCAGGGTAGGAATTTCCAGGAAGGTGCTGGAAGTTCATTCATTCATTCATTCATTCATTCCATAAATTTTGGGTACTTACTGTGTTGTGGAAAATAGAAAGAGCTGACCAGGGACCTGTAGAAAGATGACCAAGTGCCACTGAAGTCCCCGCTGAAGTCTCCCAAGCAGTCAGCTTAAGGAGCAGGACTCAGCTCTGATGCCCCAAAGGACAAAGCTAGCTGTGGGAAGTAAGGGCAAGTGGCAGACTCTGCCCTGTGGCTGCTGATGGAACTGTTGCCCTATCCAGCTCAGGAACACCCTCTGACCAGCTTCCACATGCCCCGGGAATTCCTGCAATTGTCCCTCCTTGCCTAGGCTCTGGCTTACTCCTAATTCATTACTTCACATTCTGCTCCTGTTACGCTTCTTCCAGGAAGCCTTCCTCATCACCTCCCCTCACCCCCTAGCACTGTCGCACTCCTTGGTAGATGCCCTTGTTCTAACTCCCACAGGCCTTCCCCCCCCCCCACTTCTTTGCCTGAACTGCTCATCCTCTGGTGTTCCCCTCCTCGCCCCATCAGCTCCTTGAGAAGGGGGAGTATTGGATCGTTTTTTTTAATCTGCATCTCCAGGGTGCAGGTGGGGCTTCTCAGGAAGTCTGTGATGAGTGAATGGCACGGGGAGGGGCTGCTGCCACTGCCACTCTACTCTCTCAGATGTAAACAGGTTACCCAGCTGGGAGAGAGGACATCTGCTGGCTGGCGTGGCGTCTAGCACGGATGCATCTACCTTCTCCTCTGAAGGTGGGTCCAGGGAATCTCTGGCCCCAGGGTTCCCCACCACCTCTCATTTGGGAAAACTAATACCTGGTGGCAGGCAGGAGGGAGGGAAGTGTTTGGTCCCCAAAGGGGGGACCCCAGCTGCTCCAGCCCCACCCCATCCCATACCCCTGCCAGGCGGGGAGGGCCCTTTCTCTGGAGGCCACAAGTCACCCCTGTGTTTTGTAGCACTTTATGGTGCACAAATCTCTTTGGCATATGTGAACTGAGTCCTTTCAACAATTCTGCAAAATAGGTATTACCACCATCCCCATTTTGTGGATAAGGAAATGAAGGTGCAGAGAAGTAATTTGCCTTGGGACATCCAGCTAGTGACAGAGCTGGGACTTATACTCAAGCCTGTCTGACTACAAGTTCAGGGCACTTGCCACTATGCTGCCCCCTGTCCCTAGTTCAGTGCTGAAGAAGGTGGTGGCGGCGGTGGTCCAAGGTCCAGCCTCACATGCCTTATTCCCCCCAGGATGGAAAAGGAGCACAGGAGAAGCAAAAATGGAGGCCACCAAATGGGACAGGGGCATATGGGGCACCTGGGACCCTCACAGCCTGGTGGGGGAAAAGGAAGGAAGGAGAAATGTGGGGCAAAGCTCTTACCAAGCTGCTGTGCCATCTCTCAAGTACTTTTAAGGCCACTTGGACTAACACACGCCTAAACTGGTAACCCCTGGCTGGGGGCCGGTGTGACGTCTTGTCCCAGGTCCACCCTTGTAGAGGCTGGATAAAGGCTCAGTCCTCCTGGCCTGAGGGAGTAAGCCAGCTGCTGCACCCCCTACCAGGATGTCCTGGAGTTTATCAGTGCCAACCCACTTCTTCCTCCAGGGGTGGGTAGAACTGGAGTCCAGGGGAGAGGGGGGGGAACTGCAAGAAGGTGCCTTGCTCTCTCTGTCCTAGTATGTGAGACCTTAGGCACATGGAGTCACTTCATGGGGTGGCCAGAGGGAGAGCCATTGGTAGACTAGAGATGGTGGGGGTAGAGGCTAAGTGTCCAGTGTGTCCAGGGCTTATGTTCACCTGAACAAAAGAGGTGAAGGCTCGCTCCAGGGCTTCCCCCAATTCCCAAATCCTTACCCCCAGCAGCTTCTCAATTGGGCTCCTGGGAAAGGGAACTTGCTGCCTACAAGGGATGGAAGGGCTCAGGTTGGGGTCGGGTTGTTCAAGTCTGTGGCTCTAAGGAGATGGGATGGGGAAGGAGGCCATGAGTACGGAGTAGAGAAGAGTGAGCATGGAGAACAGGAGAGAGGTGAGAAAGTGAGGAAGGTGTCAGAAGGGAGGGGAAGGGCTTGGCGAAGAAGAGGGAAAGCAAGCACTAGAGTCAGGAGAAGCTGAGGAGACAGACCAAATCTCTCCCCCAGGCTTGAGCCTCCAGGCCACAGCAAGTCTCGGGGCTGGAGTGATCCTGAGGCTGAGGGCTAGGGATGGGGGCTTCCTGGCGGTGCAGGGCAGGCTAGGAACTCTGAAGTGGTGCTCCTCTCTGCCATGTGGCTCCATGGTCTGCTTGGCCTGAGGGCCTTCCCCTACCCAGGCAGCCTGCGGAGTTCCCCGGCATGATAGGCAGGCATCAGAGGGGAGCAAGGGAAACTTGCTGATACATTTTCCTGAGAGTCTGGTTGGAGGATTTGTGCAGGGGGCCTGAGGGGCAAGGGTAGTGCTGAGTTCCTACTGGGTGGTTACCACTCAGAAGCAGAAAGGTGCCAGGGAAGGTAGGGGTGGGGGTGGCAGAGGGGTCTGGTGAAGATAGACTGAGCTATGGGAGGGGAGACCCAGAGGTGTACTGCTATTGCCACCCCTGCATGACCCAGACTCCTGTCCTCTCAGGTGAATTCAAGGACCCGGACAGGTGCTGCTGGAAACACAAGCAGTGCACTGGGCACATTATCCACCCCTTCACCTCTGACTATGGTCACCACAACCTGCACCTGCACTCTGTCAGCCACTGCGACTGTGATTCTAGGTAAGGGCCCTCCTCCTTGGGGGACGCACAGCCCGAGAGAGACTCCTGGGCAGAGCAAGGCCCACAATTTCCCCATGGTTCCCCCTTCAGCTTTGACCTGGCACTGCCAGCCCAGCTCCTGCTTCATAGACCTGGCTCTGCCCCAGAGCCACGGGGAGGAGGTTTCTCTTGGCAGCCTGGACTGAGCATGGTGGAAGCCAGCTGTCCTTCTGACTCTGGGACCCTGGTATGTGTGGGGGAATCATGGAGGCCTGGGAGCCAGGCTGAGTCCTCTGTGTGGCAGGCTGAAGGACTGCTCAGAGAAGACAAATAGCAGCAGCTCCCGAGATGTGGGCTCAGCCTGCTCCCGAGATAAGGGCTCAACATGTTTCAACATCATCCAGTCCCCTTGCTTTGAGCTCATCCCAGAGGAGGAGTGTGTGGAACGGTTCTGGTATGGCTGGTGAGTGCGGGCAGGCTGCCAAGGGCGGCACTAAGGGGCACTGGCCCCCCCCACTCTCTGTCAATCTTCTCTTTCCCTGTCCCCCCCCCTCCCTCCCAGGTGCAAAAGCTATAGGCCTATCTCTGTGGCTGTGATCCACCATCCCATCCACCATGACTGTGGGGCAGATAATCTGAATGAAGAGGAGGAGGAGGAGGAAGAAGAAAGCAAGCCCCCCATTCCGACCCAGGTGGGGCCGGCCACCACCACCACACCCGCTGACCCAGTTATGGGCACAATCACAAGTACCCCGGATTCAGCAGCTCCCATCACTATCTGGCGCTCTGAGAGCCCCACAGGGAAGTCCCAGGGCCACAAAGTGATCAAGAAGGTAAAGAAGAAAAAAGAGAAAGAGAAAGACAAGGAAGAGGATACAGATGAGAAGCCAAAGCCAAAGAAAAAAGTCAAGAAGGGCAAGTTGATTAAGAAGAAAAGCCCGGTAAAATCGGTATCTTCACCTCCAGACCTGAGCCGGTCAGTAAGCCCAAGAGAGTTGACGAGGATGTCAGAGTCCAGCCCAGATAGCCGGGGAGACCTGGAGAGTGAGGACAGTTACAGTGACCGCAGGCGGGAGGAGCCCTCCAGCGAGGATATCTTGGAGTCTTCGTCCCCCAGGAAGAGAGAGAAGAACACCATCCAGACTAAGAAACCTGGGGCAAAGGCCTCACCAGTCAAGAAGGTCAAGAGGAAATCTCCCCCAGCATCAAATCCCAATCTCAGTTGAGGCCAGGGCATCCAGGGTGAAGAATAAATGCGATCAAGCCTGTAGCTGACCCCCTGCTGCTGTTCTCTCTCCCTCCAACCTGTCCCTTCCCAGGGGAGGGGGTGGGTTCTGGGCGCAGCAGGAGTCAAGGGGCCAGGGGCTACTGGGGTTTTGGAAGAGTAATTTGTTCCTCAGGACGGAGTCCATGGGAACAGAAGGGAGGGCAGAGGCGGGGCACAGCCTGTTTCTCTGTAACATTCTAGGCTCAGGGCAGAGCACATCTGGATGGGGTGGGAAGGAGGCTCCCCATCTTTTGGGAGACTGGTCTGTGAAATCCGCTCGGGGATAGGCAGTGCTGTCTGCAGTGATACCCCTAATAAATTGAACCTTTTAACCCACTCTGTGCCACTCTGCCTGGCCTTTCCCTCTTCTAAGTGGCCCTTAGGAAGATGCTGGTGGCACCAAAGGGAACATGGTCTTCCTGGCTGCTGTGTCCCTGACAGAAGACTGGCTCTTCCCTCCCAACTCTTGCCAACAGCCAGAGATCTTGAATGATGTAATGAAGTCAAGATGGGAAGCTCATGGAGTTTGGGCAGCAGTGATTTCTCTGCTGAGCCCCAAAGCAGAGGAGAGGGAGGAGGAAAGCCTCATTTAGCACAAACTCACAAAGCTTTGAGACCAGGTCCTTCTGAAGAAACAGGGGAGACCAGGAGTTTGGAACACACACAGGCAGTGGGGCCAGGAGCAGGGGCTAGGGCCAAGGGGGCTGGCTGGTCCCAAGCTGATAAGATGGAGGCCAGCCTCCCCTGTAGCAGCCTGGCACTTTCTTTTCCAGGGCAAGCCTGGGGCCCATCCTGGGGCCCATCCTGGGGCAGACATCCTCATGTAGAGCTACTATCACAGATCAAGCCTTGGCTGGCAATGAGTGGGGAAAGAGGTGCAGGGGCTCAAACTGAGAAACCAAAATTTACTTGCGGCCCTTCTTCACTGCGCCAGAGGTGGCTAGTGGGCATAGTGGATAGGACAGCCACCTGTGAGTGCAGTAACAGCAGCTAACGGGTACTGGGGCCTCATGAGGTCCCAGGCCCTGGGCGGAACGCTCACATGTCCTCTCTTAATCCTACCGGCTGCCCGGATGAGGCAGATTATCACTCCACTTTACAGAGAAGATGGCTGGCTCAGAGACAACAGGCACAGGGCTGGGAGGCAGAGCAGGGATGTGGCCCCAGGTAGTCAGATTCAGAAGCTGCTTGCTGTTCTGAGTCACTGCCTCTTTGATGGCCTGGAAGAAGTCAGAGGGAGCCCTGAGAGCTCCACACACACTGCTTTGAAAGCCACCCTTCAAAAGCTGGAGTGTTGGAGAGAGAGGCTTTGCCAAGTGCTCTGTAGAAACACTGTTTATTCAAATGACAGGCAGGAAGCGGAGGCAGCAGCAGGTGGGTGAAGGCGGCCAGGTGGGGGCTGGGCAGGTTAGCACTGCTCCCTTTTGTCCCCTGCAATTTTGCTTTGCTAGCCACCGGAGCTGTCGGCATCAGGGTCAGAAATACTTTCCCTCTTCTCCCTCCTGCCCCAAACTGAATAAATAGCATTCCTCTCCCCACAAGAGTTGGGGGAGACTCATGTGCTGAGCTTGGTGCCCCGGGGTCACAGCCCAGAGTCAGATGAGGGCAGATGAGGGCAGAAGCTCAAAAATGGCTTGTAGGGAGTAGAATACAAAACTGTTCCACTCTCATTCTTGTCTTCCTCTTCTTCCTCCCCGCCACACTCCCCTCCCAGCCTGGTCCCAGGATAGGTGGTCGGTGAGGGCCTGGAGTGGGAGAATTGTCACCTAGCGTACACTGAGCTCAAATTCCCAAGGCCATCCAGCTTGTCACGCTTGTCACCCATCCAGGCTGACCACCAAAGAGAACGTCAATTCACGTCACTTTATGGACAGAAAAGGAGGGGCAGGGAGTGAGGCAGTGGGCGGCTGGGCCTCTCCCAGCCTCAGAGGTAACTAGAGTCCTAGGAGCAGGCCCCCTACCGATCCATCTCATCCAGGAGTGGGGTGGCATCGCCAGCAATGGACATGGGGGTGCTTTCGATCATGGGGCTGGGAGAGGGCCGAGGTGTCAGCCGCTGCTTCTGTTTCCGCCGCTCTGCTTCCTTCTCCTGTAGCCACTGCTCTGCCATCTTCCCCCAGTCGATGGCTGCGTGGCTGTTGGACCTGGGAGAGGAAGAAGGGGCCTGAGATCAGGATACTCTGCAGCTCACCAGAAGAAAGCCTTCTCACCAAACACTGCTGATCATCCATCCTTACAGAAATGGAGTTCCTAGTTTTGGGTAGCAGTAGCAGTCGTGGTGAGCTGCCACATTGTCCTTTTCTGTCTTCTAGAAAGCAGTCATCCTGGGCTATCACTGGGGTCACGGCCCTCACAAGGTCCAGGGTCCCGCCTATGCTGAGCCTGTTGGCCTCTTGACAACACCTGCCCCTAATAACCTTCTCAGTCACCAACTATATACTTACTTTGGCTGCTGCTGCCGTTGCCGAGAGCTGGAGGAGGGCTGGGGCTGGGCCTGGGCAGACTGTGGGGTGGTGCTGGCCTGTAGTTGGTGGTACTGTGGTGTGGTGATGGGCTGGCTGGGGGTTGTGTAGGAGTAGCTGGGGGTCATTAGTGGTGTGGCCACAGGCTGCTGGGCTGGCGTTGGGAACACCTGGAGAAAGGTGAACAGTTAAATGGGGGTGGGTCTCTTGAGCATGTGCAGTCCTAAGCAGTAGAGAGAGGCCAGCAGGATGGGACCTGGCACAACAATGGAGCCCACCAGCCCTGATTGCTTGAAGGTCCCAAAGATCCCAAAGGACTATGGAAAAATCAGACCTTCTCTTACTCCCTTTACCCTCAAGTGGGCCTGAAAAAAGGGCTGTGTGTCAGACACAGTTCCTAAGGCTGTGAGCCCCATCTGTACGTATGGGCACTGTGGTGGGCACTGCCAGAGGCCAGTCTATGGTCATGGGTCAGTAAAGGATGATGGTGCCGTTTCAGCCTTCTTTACCGTCTGCAGAGAGCCTTGCCCCCAAGCCACGTACGTGGTAAGCGCTGCTGCCTCCTCCACTGCCGCCATAGCCATACTGGCTGGAGGCCCACTGGGCTGGGGTGGCATTAGGGTTCTGTCCTTGACCTGTCACAGCTGCAATGGCACTGAACATCTGCGAGGTCATGTTCTGGGGCAGGGCATTCACAGCCCGTGTCAGATCTGTAAGCACAGAGAAGTGAAGGATGGGCATGTTAGAGGTCAAAGTCCTTTTAGCACCATCCCTCCAGCTCCCAGTCAGACATGGGTTCCTTACCTGCAAGGTTGATGTTGGCTGGTGTGGCATTGATAGAAGCAGGTGTCCGTGTCCTGCTGCTGCTACTAGGAGTGATGCCTATAGGAAATGGTCAAAGTTAGTTCTGTCCCTCCAGAAACTTATTTCTGGTTTCACAATGTAGGGGGCTGGAGGAGGTCCTGAGGTGGGTGGAAAGAAGGGAAGCTGCATCGGCAGAGTAGATGGAGGACTTCCTTGATGCCAAGAGGCTGGAGCAGAAGTGAGACAGCTGTGGTGAGAGACCATGTCTCATCCCTTCCACAGGTGGCAAGTGATCACCTTGATTCAGGGCCTATGTGTCCTAAGCACACCCCAGAGCTCAGAGCAGAACTCACCTGGTACAGGATCCTGGTAGTGATCCTTAAACCATCTGAAAAGTCCATTCACAGTAGGGAAGATTTGGCCCCGGTACCGGAATCCTTCTGGAGTCACTGTTACATATTCTATCCTGGGATTTTGGAAGGAGACATGTGTCAGATACCACTTGGGGCCAGCCCTGAGAGAGCGGCCAGAACAGATCACCATGTGAAGGAGCCACACTGGGTGCTGGGGGAAAGGAAAGATGAAAGATCCCTGACCCTGTCAAAGGAGGCCACACTCTGAGGTGAGCACAGGTAAGGCCAGGAGCTTGGTGTACAGGCTGCCAGAGGAAGGCCTGCTGGGGGCTGGGCCACCATCCTGGGCTGCAGAATGATGGCAGCACACTGCAGGTGAGGATAAGAGTGAGGTCGCAGTGTAAGGGTTGGAGGGGCCAGGGTACCAAAAACAATTCCCAAGACCGAGAGTCTGGAAGCACCCCTGTTAAGGTGGTTAGTCTGACCTTATTCAACACTGTAGTGTAGGGAGTACATAAGAGGATGGGTTCTGGGTTCAGACCAGTTCTAGTTCCAGTTGTGGCTCTGTCATTTGCCACTTAGATGACTTTATATGAAGTTACTAAACCTGGGTCTCCATTTCATTTGAAAAATGAGAGTAATGACACTTAAACCTTTAGAATTGAGTGTAAGAAATACCTGAAGATGGTGCATGGGAAGCACTTAGCACAATGATGCCTCAATAGGGTTCTGCTGACTTAAGGATAACTGTCATTTACCCACAGACGATGACAAATATCATAAAGTTCTCATTTATAAAGTTGAACCCTGCTTCCTAAATCTAATGACACTGAAGTATCGTCAATTCTGCAACACAAGGAGTCTGCACACCTTCCCACGGAAAGTTATCATGTTGCCTCTACTCCCTTGTTTAAAGGTCACTTGTTTGTTCAACTATTCCTCATGGGACAGTGTCCAGCCAAGAGCCCTGGCTGCCATCCTCTGGAAGCGTGATGGTGAGTCAGAAATGGTTTCTCAGAAACAATACTCTACATATGCCCAAGATGGTGTAGAGTTTGGAGTCTAGAGCTTCTTGTCACCTAGCCACTGAGTCCCTACTAATAATCTATACTGTTTATCATGTGCAAGTAGGATAGAGACAAGAGCAGAAATGCACTGGCCTTGGCCAAGGGCTGAAGGAAGGATGGGGGCATAGAGAAGGCTGGAAGAATGATCAGCCTGGGTAACATACAAGAAAGCAAATCTAGAAAAAATGGGACTTTGTCTGATTCAGAGTGAGCTCTAAAGGGACCCAGACAAAGGAATATCTAGGAAGGCCAGCCTGTCAGTCACACACGGAAGGGAGCAGAGGGGGATTCGATGGTAGGAAGAAGAAAAGCTCTTCTCACCCACCCCTTTGGAAAAGGCACAAGTTATCTGGCACACAACAGTGACAGTGAGCCATCATGTGCTGACTCGCCCTGGCAAGGGTGAAGTGGAGAGTAAAAAGAGTTGTGTCCTGGTCCCCACCTTTGCTAGTCAGGTGGACAGGGGCAGGTGACTTCCATTACTCCTTGGGAGAGAGAAGACGCAAAGGAAAAACTTTTTCTCAGAGGGCTGAGGAAAGTATCTTTTTTTTTTTTTTTTTACTAAATCTTTCCCTTTTGCCTCTAAATCATCACCCTCTCTCCCCAGCTCCAACCTCCACTGCTGGTCTAAACAGATAAAAAGGCAAAAGA